TTTAGCTAAAGATCATTTTGTTAAAAAGCAATATCGTGGGCAAATCATGATACAATGTCTATAAAAGTTTTTGGTTTTATTTGTAAAACCTGTTGCAAATAAATTCCCAAACAAAATTCCACAGTCTCACCAATACTGGCAATATGGGGTGTTGTCCCCGATAATATGGACGTGCAGATGAGCTTCTAAAACCTAAGTTGGAAAAATCTCGTGATCCGTTAACACATCTAGTCCATTGAATACAAGCATATAAAATTTTCTTTTGCAGGGCCGACGACATGGGTTTCGAAGTGGGGAGGCACAACCGTCAATTCTTAAAAAAAGTCAAGACATAAAAAAATTATCTAGAATTTTCTTACATTTAAAAAAAAAAAGCAAAAAAAAACGGTCCTTTAGAAAAAAATCTGGGGAAGGGAGCCCGTGCCCCCTGGCCTCCCAATGTCGTCGGCCCTGTTTTGAAGGCGTATAATGCAAAATGATAATGACGGTCTGTTTTTTTTTATTTCAAGTTTGTTTTTAAGACTGGTTGGTATCTAACTAAAAAAAACAACTTGAAATCAGGTTTTTCAAGTACGAATTCATTTCAAGTTTGTTTCTTGAATAACACTTTAGTCAGACTTCAGATTTGAAGTATAACTTAAAATTTCAAGTTCGTTTTTTGCATTCGGAAAAGATTTTTACTTTTTCAAGTTGGCTTTTCAAGTCTAACTTGAAAACGGCCGGTTTTCCGACTCGACTCGAGTTTTCAAGTTAGACTTCGAGTTCAAGTTCGCTCTTTGCATTTACTCAAGTCAAATTTTATACTTCAAGTATGACTTCAAATTTTAAGTTAGCTTCTTGCATTCCACCCTTAGTTTCAACCAATTATTTCAATAGATTAAGTATAATTAAGTTAATCCGTACGTTATTTTGGTATATTTCGGGTAAATTAATTGTCAATTTTTTAATTTAATTTTCCGTTTTTGTAACAATTAAATTCCGTAATATAATACCAGATACTCTTATTCTTTCAAAAATAAACCAGTTATAAATATAAAAAATCAAAGACAAAATAATAAGAGTTAGTTATACAAAAATAAATAAAAACGCGGAAACTTGCAGAAGACCATTAAGTCTTATCATCAAGAACCGTTGTAATTATGTTTTTACAATATTAAATTCTTATAATAGTGTTAAAATCAAAACTTAATTAACTAAGGTAAATAGTGTTAAAACTAAAAACTTTTCAATGTAAAAAGACAAAAACAAAAAAACAAACAAACGAAAAAACAAAGCAGTTTAAAAGAAATCATTAATAAGATTTGTATACTTTGAAATATTCTTCTTTATTATTTTTTGAAAGCAATTTATATAGTTTATTCCTGGCAAATTACTATATTTTGCTAAGATTTTATTCCAGATATGCGGAGCACGATACGTAATTTTAAATTGTTCTTGTTTAGTTTTGCACAACGGTTCAATTAAGCCTGTTGTGCGTAAAGTATATTTAAAGTAAGGTTATATTTCATAAAGATCATTAAAAATTGAGGAGCATTGTTGAAATTTACTTTTGTACATGAGAAATAAAATTTTATAAACGTTTATCTCATATAACGTAAAAATATTCATAATTTCGAACAGTGGTTTTGCATGTTCGTTTTTATTTTTAAAATTCTTTATTCTTAAGGCATGTTTTTGTTTTCGATAGAGTGTTTCAAGCTTGCTTTTAGATGTACTTCACCACGCAATACTTGCGTAATTCTAACAAATCTATTTCAGTTTTATACAAGTAACTTTGTATAAAACTGAAATAGATTTGTTTTAGATGATGCTTATTAAGTAAATCCAGTGACTGATATAGAACGCCAATACTTTTTGATATTTTGCTGCCAATATAGGCAATATGTTTATTCCAGGTAATATTTTCGTCAATGAGAACACCAAGAAATTTTGTGACTCTTTCGCGACTAACTTTTGTGTTTTCAATAACTAGTTTTGGAAAAGAAATAGGAATTATTTTTTTTTTAAGGGTGGAATAATGAGAACTTTGTTTTATTTGAATTAATAGAAAGTTTATTTGCATTGAACCATAATGAAATTTTATCTAACTCGTTGTTCATTTGTACGAAGAGTTGAGGTATACCTTTTCCTGAAATAAAAAAGTTACTGTCGTCAGCAAACATTATTGTTGCTGTTTATACCATCAATTCCAGAAGATTTATTACGTTTCAAACTTTTAAAAGCTGTTTCGTATTCTTTAAAGGTTAAATTCTCATTTTTAAATTGATTTTTATTGTAATGAAGGTATTCCTTAAATGATTTATTTACATTTGGAATTTTTGCCGCAAGTTTAGGTCCTATATTCACAAAAAAATTGTTAAATTCATTTGCTATATTGTTTTCATTGGCAATAGTTTTATTTTTAATATGTAAGATTTTCGGAAAGAAAGATTTATTTTTTTTCGGTTTTCCAATTATTTCATTTAGTACTTGCCAAGTTTTCCTAGAATTTAATTGACACTTTTCAAGTTGCTTTTTATAATAGTTTAATTTTGCAGTTCGTCTAATTTTCTCAAATAAAGTCCTGTAGTTTTTATATTCTGCCTTGGTCTTTATGCACTTATTTATTAGATATTTATCGTACAGTCGATGTTTTCGCTTCGAAGCTTTTTTTAAACCTTTACTAAACCATGGCGATGGTTTAGTAAAGGTTTAAAAAAAAATTAAGTTTTTAATTTTAATTGTTACTTCTTTCTCTGGGAAGTGTTTTTCATACAAGTTTAAAAAATTGTGGTGGAAGCTATTAAACATGGAATTAGCATCATTAGATGATTCTAATGGAGACCAGTCTATATTTCCTAGTTCATTTTGAAACGCTAATTGATTGTTTAATGATAGGAGGCGTTTAGTAAATGTGACTTTATTTTGTTTTTGTTTATCTGACGTATTTGCGGATATGAAAATTGGAATGTGATCTGAAATTAGTGTTTTAACTATTCCTTTTTTAACGAGTTTTCAAATAAAAAATTAGTTAATATATTGTCTATTATTACTATTTTTCTAGAGAAACTTTTTGAATAATATTCTGGAGATGATTTGAGAAATTTTCTGTGGACGCATTTGGCGGTTTGTAACAACAAGTTACTAAAATATTTTTGGTCTTATCATTAACTATTTCAATCGAAACAAATTCACCGTTGCATTCAAATATGCACATGTCATTTCGCATTTTAAACCGCAAGCTATTTTTGACGTAAATAACAACACCACCACCTCTTTTTTTAGACTCTTTGTAAGTGAATTGCGTCATGTTCTAGTAAGTCAAACCGACAACTTTCGCTACATGCATCATCAGTTAGCCAAGTTTCACTTAAACAAATTATATTGAAAATAAAATTGCTTTCCTCTAAGAATATTTTAAAGTTTTCAAAATTTGCTTTAGCGCTTCTTATGTTAAGATGAAGAAGAAATAAGTTCTTAAAAGGTTCAATATTTGATAAATATTGTTTTATTTCATCTGGAAATAAATACTGTGCTTCCGTATTCATTAATGAATAGTCATCAATATAATTTTATCAGGATCGTGCTCATCGAGCGTGTTTAAATTATTTAATCTAAAAACATTAAATGAGCTATTTTCAAAGTAATTTTCTCATCAAACAATTTATGAACCTTCGCTTCACTATCGCACCAGGTTTCATTATCTTCCTCTTTGATACCGTCTACCCTTAGGTTGTTTCTTCTGGACCTGTCAATCATATCAAATATTGTTTTCTCGGTCAATTATTTGAATAGATTAAGTTTATTACAGCATAGTCATGATAATATATATTTCTCAGGGCCGTACCGTGAAATTTTTTAGGTGGGGGTTGTTTTTGAAAAAAAAAGACTTTAAAACACCAAACATTTGTTTGGTGTTTTAAAGTCTTTTTTTTTCTTAATCTAAATTTAAATTTCTTTTTTTTTCTTAATCTAAATTTTAAAGTCTTTTTTTTTCTTAAATCTTACTAAATTTACTTAATAAAATTTTCGTGAAACATAGCTATATTTATGTGAACTATGTTTACATAAACGAATTAATTACTTTCGCTATAAAATATCATCAAGCCTCCCCCAATATGTTTGCCTGTCATCCTGTCAAGATTTAAAAATTCAAGAAACACTTCTCTTATTTTTTTTTCTCCGTTTACGTATCTCATACATATTGATAAAATTTGTTGGTTTGCAGTTGTTACCTCGTCTGCTGAAAGTGAATGGTAGTTTGCAGTTTTATTTTCATTAATTAGCCGTTCTTGTATACATTTCTTTCCAATTATATCAATTAATTCATTTTGACTTTTGGGGCCAATGTAGCTGACATTTTTGCGTAACTGTGTTTGTTTATGTGCATTAAGTTTAGCGTTATGGCGAGCTATTTCTTGCACAATTGCAAGAACGTTTCTAGGGTTACCTTTTTGGTCTGAGTTTTCCATACACTTGTCATAAGTTCCACGAATTGGTAGTCCTTGTTTCCACATCAAATGCACTATTCTACCTTATGTTTCAACAATATACTAGTACATTTGTTGTCGGTTTTTTAAAGTGCTATCACTTTGTAATGGAATGGTTTGTCTTGGATCTTCAAAACAACAACAAATACCATTAGCTTGTTCGATAGCTTCTTTATGGCATCTATTGCTTATATGTAGTTTTTGTTTCTCTAAAACATTGTGCCATTCCTTATATCCACATTTTTCGTTTACAGAAGATTTCACAATGCAATGACTTGTAATGACGCCGTTTGTGAAACAATAAATTAAAAATTGTTTTATGAGAATAATTCATAAAAATCAAATAGTTATAAAAAATTTGATTAAATATTTTGACATCGAAAAGAGTCTAGAAATAATTTTTGGCATCAAATTAAAAAAGTTACTTTGCATAAAAAGGGGGGTCAACCCTTGCCCCCCCCCCCTACGGTACGGGCCTATTTAATGGGCTAATTAACGGGCCTTTTAATTTTATTTCCGGGTTAAGACAAGTTTAAAAATCCGAGTTTAAATAATCGGTTTTTAAGTTATAAACTAATTTTTTTATGTATTGTAAAACAGATTTGAAATGTTTGAAATTCTTCCTTACCATATTCCTTGTTCAATATACATTCGTTTAATTGTTACTCAAACCAGTGGAAAAAGCTGGGAAAGTCCTGAAGTATCTCCTGAACATCAAAGGAAGTTACTACTTCAAGCACTCAAGCTTATAAGAAGCACTCAGTTATCATGGATTCAATTTCAACAAGAAATACAAAAAGTTATGAATGGCGATTTATTAGCAATGTTTCTTAAGGAGGTGCACGACTTGCAAGATATCGACTGTTTATGTGAAACTATTAAATCACTAGAGAACTTATTTTCAACTGACTCAATTATGAGATCAAGCATTTTAGGTTTATTTCTTCGCAAAAATATTTTAGCTCTTAAGAAGATGTCTTTTCAAAAAATTAGTTTGTTTTTCAAATCATTAGAGAATTATTTGAGCATTGATAAGTTACATAAAGATATATGTTATCACAGTAGCTCTCATTTGCATACTAAAGCATGTTATGCTGATAGTGAAAATACAAATTTTTTAAAAGATTGTTCAAGTAATTTTTCTGATAATGACAAGATAACATTTGATGACAGCTTTCTTATCAGCAAAAATAAGGTTGAAAGATTCATATCTCAGCAAACACATTTTTTGTTAAGTAATGAAATAAAAGCACTTTCCCCTGAAAAACTGAAAGATAGTTGCACTAAGATACAAAAAATATACCCAGATATATCTGACATACATTTCCTTAATTTTCTAAACTACCTTAGATTATCAGAAACTGAGTGTGCTACTAAGTTTCTTCAACTTTATTTTGATTTCAAAGTATTTGAAGATGAAAGAAAAGAAAACTCCGAGATTGAAAAACATCAAATGAAATTTAAAAGATTTCGTTATTGCGCTTTAACCTTAGGAATTATGCATTGTTACTATGGCAATTACAATGAGTCATTAATTTCATTGGAAGAAGCAGTAAGAATGGCTCAAGAAACTAACGATGAAAAATGTTTGCAACATGCACTATTTTGGTTAAAAGTGGTTGAAGAAGAAACAAATCCTGGGAAATCAAAGTTTTCTGATATTAAGGATTGTTTTATCGAAAATAAAGATGAAGGTGATGCGTTTGAACTTAAACTTATAAAAAAGTTAGGTGTGTTACATTGTTATAAAGAAAAAGTTTATGAAGGTAAAATTTTTCCAAGTATTTTAATATCAAAAGTTTCTCAAATATTGTGCACAATGCCTTCAATGATGGATGTTGCAGGATTGGCTCTTTCTGCATTTATATGTTTTTTTGGGTTTAATATGGTTGCATCTTCATTATGTCAGTTTTCTTTACTCTCATCTAAAACAAATGTATATAGTCAGTCTGATGAAAATTTAGTTTTATCTTTATGCCAATTAGCAAATCATCATTTTATACAAGGGTTTTACTCTGAAGCTAAATGCATTATACATTTTGCCTCAACTCAAATCACTTTATATAATCGAAATCAAAAGACAATCGAATTTTGTACATTGCAAATTGATTTTCAACAGTGTATTTATGAAAGAAAAATGGATTCCATTAAAGAAATAATTAAGAAACTTTCTTTTATTGATTGCTTTGAAAGTCAATACATGATAGCTGTCGTTAATATTCTAAATGGAAGCTTTATGAAAGCATTTGAAGAAATAAATGATTTGCTATCAAAGTTTTCTTTAAAAAGTAAACTGCCATTACTTAAAGGAAAAGTTAACTTGTTGTTGGTTGAGTTGTTAATGGCATCAAGCTCATCAATGGCTCTTACAAAGTTATGTCAGTTGATAACATTTTCAGATAAATATTATCTGACTGGACTTAAAATTGATGCTCAAATCTGTCTCGCTTATTGGTATATTACCAAGAAACTGTATAAAAAAGCTAATGTATCTCTAGAACAAATGAGTTTGCAGATTTTATCTAATGGAACATGTTTTCAAAAGGGAGCTTTTATATTTTTACAAGCTCAGTGTAAACTACTTGAGGATTTCAGTACTGTAATTGAAAGTAAATCCCAGCTACTTGATATTGTCTCTATGCTTGATAAAAGCTTGACTTACTTTACAAGAGCAAACATAGTTGCAAAAAAGCGAGATGTTTTATACACATTATCTATTGTTTATCATCATCTAGGATATATCCAAGATCGTAACTATACTGCAAAACTTTATCGAGCACTAAATGAAAAAATCAAAGGATTTACAGATATGATTTGTTTTTAAAACTTAAGCTTTATCTAAATAAATTTGAAATTGATTTTTTTTTTGTAAATTTTAAATAAATTTAACAACTACAAATTAGTTTGTAGTTGTTAAATTTATTTTAGTTTTTACAAAAGTACTTTCTTAGAAGTTTTGTAGAGTAAATTCAAGTTTGTTGTCAAATCTGTTACCAGCATCATAGTAATATATAATAATATACAGTTTTAAATGCATGTTTAAATAACATCTCTGATTTCACACCAAAATAGTCTGCTGCCGGGGGCTTAAGTACTTTAGTCAACTATTTTATAGCCTACATCAACTGAGAGTTTGGCCTGGGCCAGCAATCCTTTCTTTCATTTTTCTTGTTTTTTTTTTTAATGTTATAGATAATATATGCATAGAATGTTACCTCATCTCGAGTTTATATATATATATATATATATATATATATATATATATATATATATATATATATATATATATATATATATATATATATATATATATATGTGTGTGTGTATATATGTATATATATACATTATGTTAGTGTATTCTGCAAATAGAAAAAGAACAGAACAATAATAAATTTTTAAAAATTCTTATCTAGATTTTTCTTCAGCAATTCTCCATCAGTAGGTTCCATCAGCTTTGAGATGTCCGTTGGCAATTTTAGGTAGAATATGATAATTATGAATCTAATAACTTATTTTCTGATCACCAATATGGATTTCAATCTTCTCATTCTTCACCTGATGTGTTAACATTAGATAGATGTGGAGAAGTTAAGGCTCTCTATTTGTAAAGCATTTGATAAAGTTTAACTTGCTAGTCTTCTCTATAAGCTTTCTTCTTATAATGTATAGGAAATTCTTTTTTAAGTTCTCTTTACAGGTAGGATCTTTAAGACCCTACCTGGATACTTAAGATTGAATCCTTCCTTACCAATTGTAGTATAAAAGTTGTCCTTGTCTTCTTCATTTTCTGTAACTTTAGGGGTTCCTCAAGGTTTTATTCTTGGCCCTTTACTTTTTTTAATTTACAATAACAATCTCCCAAAACATCTCACATCTAAGGTGGCATTGTTCGCTGATGGTACTACCATTAATACTTGTCTTGATAAAAAGCCAATACTTTCTAATTTTGAGGAGGCATTTGAGCTTGAAAAGGATCTCATTTCCGCTACAGCATGGGGCTTGCTGGTAAACTTATTATAAACAATTTTTTCAATAATAATTTTTGTAATCTTTATGGCAACAATCTAAATCTTCTTATATTTACGGATGGTAATATATTTGATAAGAAATCTACTCTCTGTCTTCTAGGATATGGTTTCCAAGAAAGGCTAGAAGTAAGAGTTAACTCTTATTTTTATTCTTTCTTGGAAACCATATATCAAATCTAACAGAGTGTCTGCCAGATCAGAGAAAAGTCAGGGAATTCAGATATCTGCCAAAAAATCAGTGGATTATCAGGGAAATTAGGTTAAAATGGCTCTTCATCAAACTTACATAACTTAAATAAGTTGTATATGGTACAGGTAATATAAAAGTTTATTTGGCAGATAGTTTTATGAACTTCTCTTGATACATTTATTGTGGGCTGTATTATTGTTTATATTTTTGCAGTTGAAGAGCATTTTTCTAAATGAATCTAGTCAATTTTTGTGAAGTTGAGTTTGGGTAACTTTAAATAAAATCAGGGAAAACAGGCAGAAGATCAGAGAAATATCAGGGAAAAGTTAGGTTAATCCACCTTAAAATATTAGCAGACACCCTGCATAAGCATGTGCTAAGGTTGCATACCTTTATCGTGCTTGCTACTTTCTTACTTTAAATCCTATTCTCTATAAATCTCAAATTTGTCCTTGTATGGAATACTGTTGCCATATCTGAAGCGAAGATATGAATGATGCCCATTCTCTTTTAGTCAAGGTGCAAAAATGCATTGTAAACATAGTTAAACCTGCTCTTGCAGCCAACCTTCAGCCATTATCACATTGTCATAATGTTGCTTCTCTTTCTCTTTTCTATAAATAATATAATGGGTGCTGGTCTAAAGAGCAAGCATCTCTTGTGCCATCTACCAAAAAAATTCATCTGTTAGTTACTCATCATTCAATCACGTCTCATCTTTTTACTGTGACTATTTTTATATTTTACTATGCTATAAAAATTCTTGTTCATCTATTTTTTTCTCTTTGAAAATCAGTTCTTTGGAATTCACTTCCTTCATCTTATTTTAATTATTCATATAATTTACAATCTTTTAAGTCTGTTAATCATTAATTGCTTTATAAACTTCATATTTTCTCTTCCAGTAACTTTCAACTCTAGTAGTGGTTTCTTGCAGCCTTGTTAGAAGTGAAGATGTTTAAAAAAAAAATTAGCAGATGTAGCGGCATGTTCTGCCAATTAGTCAGTCAATATGTGCTAAAGACCCAGCAGTTGGCTATTTTAATATTACATCAGACAGGTTAATATATATATATATATATATATATATATATATATATATATATATATATATATATATATATATATATATATATATATATATATATATATATATATATATATATATATATGTATATATATATATATATATATATATATATATATATATATATATATATATATATATATATATATATATATACATTTATGTGATTCTAAATGCTTAAAAATAATATCATTTTATAAAATTCTTTTGGATTTTACTGCATAGGTAATGACATTTTTCTAACTAAAAATAAAAAAAAGTGTGTTTTTACAAGATTTTTTATTAAAATTATTTATTTCTGATGTTTTTTTATAATAAAGTGATTAAAGTGATATTTCTATTAGAAATTTTTATATAATTTTTCCCAACATAATATACTTCAATAAAACTTTTTTTTTTTGAATTTTGTGTCATGTTGCAAAGATTAGACTAAAGTTGGCACCCCTAAATATTTTTGTTTTTGTTTTTTGTAGTTTCTATAAAACTTAAACTTAGATTGAATTAGATGGATTAGAACTTAATATCCTTAATATCCTGGATTAAAACTTAAATATATAATTTGGTTTATTTTCTAATTATAGTTATTATCTAGTTATTAGATAATTATTTTCAGAAAGTAATGGGAAAATTATTGTCAGAAGTTTCTGAGACAAGAAGCAATATTAAAAAGAAAGAGCAGAGTTTACCTACTAAGGTAATTTATTGATGCATTTACAAATGAATAATATAGTATGTATTATATGCAGGCTTTGGTAGAAAGTGAGAGCTTTAATTCTCACCCACATACTACCCTAAAGTGGATTATGGGATCGGTTGATGGCTCTCGCAAGGGTATAATTTTTTCATAAATAGAAAACAATTTCTTTTTCTTTTTTTTAAATAATGATTAGAAAAATAAAAATTTCTGGTGCATCAAATAAAAAAGAAAAAGGTTGAGTTTCAAATTGACTTTTTTGCTTACAAAATGCAATTGTTTTTTTGTGTGTGTGTGTGCATTTTGTTGCATAACAGGCAAACTATTACATTAATAACAATATGTTTGCAAAGTTGTTTATAAAAGAAAACCATTATTGTTATAACTAAGATGAAAAATGTTAAAGTCTCTTTTAAAATAAAACCAATGATTGTGTAATAAACTACAATGATTGTGTAATAAACTGCAATGCTTTTTTAAAGGCACCAGTATTGAAAAAAACGTTTTTTACAATAAACAACTCTTGTTATGTTGTTCTCTCTTGTTATTGTTATGTATATATTTTTGTAACATTAATATTATAAGTATATGTTTGTATCAAATTTAAAAAAAGTATAGAATTAAATTTTTATTTTAACAAGCAATTTTTTAATGAATTAACATGTAACGTTAACATTACGAACATATGCTTGTATCATATTTTAAAAATGTATAAAATCAAATTTTGTATTTAACAAGCAATTTTTTAATGAATAAACAGATAGCACACACATAAACCGAAAGCTCTTGTAAAAAGCTGTTTTTTTCATCTCTGTCACATTTATTACCGCCGAGGCATGTATATGTAAGATTTATGTATGTACTTTTTGAAAGATTTATTGTATTAAACACAAGAACATGTATATTGTACTAAATACAAAAATATATATTGTATTAAACACAAGAAATTTACTGCAAAATCAATTTATTATATTAAATTATTTATCACTTTTTGAAAATTCTTCTTGTATACATTTGTTTAGAGTAGGAGTATGCATATATTGTTTAGAGTAGGAGCATGCATATATTATCATTCTATGGCTTATTCGATAGGTTTTATTGCGCATTAGATTAAGGTGGAGAGGTTAAAGCCATTGCTCTTGACATTTGTAAAGCGTTTGATAAAGTTTGGCATGCTGGTTTTCTCCATAAGCTTTCTACTTACGGTGTATCTGGGAACATCTTTAAGATTATTGAATCCTTTCTTTCCAATCGTAGTATAAAAGTTGTCCTTGATGGACAGCACTCTTCTTCTTATTCTTTAACCTTAGGGGTTACTCAAGGTTCAATCCTTGGCCCTATACTCTTTTTAATTTACATTAACGATCTTCCAGATATTCTCACATCTAAGGTGGCATTGTTCGCTGATGATACTACCATTTATTCTTGTCACAATAAGAAGCCAACTCCCGCTGATTGCTTGCAGGGGGCATCTGAGCTTGAAAAGGATCTCATTTCTGCTACAGCATGGGGCTCACAGTGGCAGGTGAACTTTAATTCAGATAAAACTAAATTTTTTTCATCCAGTTGTATCACAATAATTTAGGTCTTCCTGTATTTATGAACAGTAATGTACTCGATGAGTCTCCTACCCTTCATCTTCTAGGATTAACTCTTACTTCTGATCTTTCTTGGAGACCTTATATCAAATCCATTGCAAAATTAGCATCTGCTAAAGTTGCATCTTTTTATCGAGCTCGCCACTTTCTTACTCTGGATTCTATTCTTTATCTCTATAAATCTCAAATCTGGCCTTGTATGGAATACTGTTGCCATATCTGGGGCGGATCTTCTAATGATGCTCTTTCTCTTTTAGAAACAAGAGGTTGCACAAGGTGCAAAAATGCAATGTAAACATAGTTTGACCTGCTCTTGCTGCCAACCTTTAACCTTTGTCACATCGTCGTAATGTTGCTTCTCTTTCTCTTTTCTACAAATACTATAATGGGCACTGCTCTAAAGAGCTAGCATCTCTTGTGCTATCTACTAAAATTCATTCTTGTGTTACTCTTCATTCAATTAAGTCTCATCCTTTTTCTGCAACTGTTCCTAAGTGCTCCAAAAACTCTTATTCATCTAGTTTTTTCCCTCAAACATCAGTTCTTTGGAATTCACTTCCTTCATCTTGCTTTCCTGATTCATACAATTTGCAATCTTTCAAGTCATCTGTCGATCGTTATCTTGCTCTACAATCTTTATCTTTTCTTTTCCAATAACTTCCAACACTAATTAGTGGTTACTTGCAGCCTTGTTGGAAGCGAAGATGTTTAATATATATATATATGTATATACATATATATATATATATATATATATATATATATATATATATATATATATATATATATATATATATATATATATATATATATATATATATATATATATGTATATATGTTTAATATATATATATATATATATATATATATATATATATATATATATATATATATATATATATATATATATATATATATATATATATATATATATATATATATAGAGAGAGAGAGAGAGAGAGAGAGAGAGAGAGAATGTAATAATATATTGCAGGCATTGTAAAGAAGCATTACGCTGTTTGCATTATTAATCAGAATATTTAAACAATCTTTTGAAATAAAGTAATTAATAGTTGTTAAAAATTCACCACAGTTGTTAAATATTTTTTTTTTTACCATATTCTGTAGAATATATAAAATAAATTTAAATTAAAAAATTAATTTAAATTTATTTTATATATTCTATTTTTTTTTTACTACTTTCTGTAGAGTACATTAATCTAAATTTGTTTTACTATTTTTAAATTAAAAATTAATAAATTGAAATTTTTTTATCAAATTTAATTTAAATTTATTAAAAAGTTTAAAATGGCTTGTTATCTTCAAAACAATGTTAAAGAAAAGAAAATTATTTTTATCAAACTTAAGATACCTTTTTATGTTCGTTTTACATTCAACTATTTTTTTTTTTAATTTATAGTTTCAAATCAATAAAAAAAATTTCATTATGTTACCAAAGTGCTCATAACTGTATTTACATTGCTGGATAAACCATAATCAACTCTGTATGCAAAACTATTTTAGAGAATTGTTTTAGTAAACCTTATTTAACAAAGTTTTAAAAAGATGATTTTTATTATTATTCTTTTAGATTGATCTTAGAATGAACTTTAATTGCTGAATTAACTGCCAACCTTAAAGTGTTTGAGGTCCAACTTTTTTCTATGTTTTGTGGTAAAACTTTTGTATCAAATTTTTTTGTTGACCTCTGATATTTTAAAGTTGGCAATTTTTTGCCAACCCCATTTTTCCTAATTTCAATCGTTCCAAGTTTATAGAGTGAAGAATTTGTTTAAGACAAAATGTGAAAAGTTTTTCTAATTTTAATTTTTTTTATTTTTTTTGAAATTTACACATAAACAATTGCCCCCTTATTTTAAACAAAAAAACAATGAAATTGTGAGAAAGCAAAAAGGGTTATAATATTGTTTTATGAGTGTTTTAATAGTATAAGTTTAAGTATATATATAATAATATATTTACCTACTTTAAAAAAAGATAATAAGTATATGTATCTTTTTTTAAAGTAGGTAAATATTTTTTTTTGAACTACATTTTTAAATTTTATAAATTTTTTTTAATAACGATATTGTTTAATTTAAGGATATTTTATAAATTTTTTATAAAAATAAAAAATTGATAATTTTTAATGTGGTTTCAAATTAAATTTAATTACAATGCGGTTCTTTAAAATATGCAACTTATGTAATTTAATATTTAACGATGTAAATATTTATAATATTAAGTAAAGTTACATTTACTTGGGTTATGCTTTTCCGCAACAAAGTCTTATAACAAGAGTGTGAGAATACATGATGTAAAGTGTAAAAATGTTTGCATTGATATTTTTCCATTTATGTTAAAATGGCTTTATTTATTGTTAAAAAATTTTTTTAAAGATATTTAAAAATATATATATATTTTTTGAATAGTAAATGAAAAAACTAATGTGCTAGTTCTCTTAAATAAATTTAAACTATTTTACAGTTGGTCATACGTCGTCTTCCTTCGACTCTCACTGAAGAGGAACTTAAAGCAAAGTTGACTTTTCCACCTCATGATTATTTTTTCTTTACTGGACCAAATTACAGGTAATATTTTTATTACAACTTTTTTAACTTTTCTTTTTATAACTGATATGTTTATTTTTCTTAATATTTCATCATTTCAATAAAAATACTTTTTCAAGACTGCTGTACGCAAAATAAATTGAAAATAGTTTACAAATCACCTGAGAACATTGTTCAACTCTGAATGACAACATTTTAAACTAGTTTTTATATTTTTTGAGTGTTTTTGAGTGTTTTTGAATTTTTTTTTTATGAAAAAAATTTTGAGGTGTTTTTTTTCCTTTATTTTCTTCATTGTCATTACTAGTGTAGTTTAGTGTTCCATTTCACCATTAGTTTACTAATACACTAGTGGTGTACTGATTATATGTTATTGATATTATTGGGACATGCATTTTTTATTTTATTTTATTGATTCGCTCTTTTTTTAGTAGATTGATTTAGGTTTTTTTATATCCTGTAATTTGAAAATAATTATATGTAAAATAAACCATTAACTATTCATTACTGAGGATATTTTTTCTGATAGTGTTTTTGGGTCTTGCCTTAAAGAGAAAGGTCATCATTAGAAGAAGTTAATTTTATTCATAGAATAAAATTAGAAGTAAGAAAATGGCAAGCACAATAAAAAATGACAGATTCTAACTTTGATGTGGATTATATATATTGTGTTATGAGAGGTCAGTAGGCAAAATTTTTCTGAGAAGACCTAAAGAGAGACCTAAATAAAAAGAGAATAGTGTTGCTATTTGTCAATATAAGAATATCAAAAATTTAATAATAGTACAAGCAAACAACATTTTGTTCAGTTAAAGTTCACCATCCACAGCTAACCCCATACTGTAAAAGGCAAGAGATTCATGATTGGCTGCCTATTCTAAGTGATCATAAAGTGAAGACTGAAATATAAGGTTGTGTCAGCAGCAAAAAATCTGTCAACAAGAAACGTTAGAAGTAAGATTATCAAGAAGACCGTTAATATAAGATAAGATGCAATATAAGGATGGAACCATGGTAACCTTATTATACACCAAAAATTATTGGAACTATGTTTATAGTTAAATAAGGGGAGTGTTGCCCATCATAAACAATTTCAATAGTGAGTTAGAAAGGAATGTTTAAATATTTTTAAAAGAAGAATTTTTAGTCCAGAAGAGTGACTCCTTCTAGGCAGTGGCACATATACTGAATTACAAATAGCAGGGAGATTATGATAATCTTGATCTAACCTGAATTATTGATATTTTAATAATTGGTTAATTAATTGTTGTTGGTATTGATCATTTTCTGACTATTGGTATTGGCTTCGGCTACAAATGTGAAATTATCATATCACTACTAGACACAAACCTTGAAGAGCTAAGGTGTTGCATGTTTAGGGTAGAACTTGTTACTTCTTGCTTATAAAGCATTTGTGCTATCACTAGTGCTAATCCTAATGCATAATATAAAAGTATATACATTAAAGTTGTAACTTAAGGCTGTAAAGAAATTATGATGGCCATGTTCCTACACTATGAGAAAAAAGTTGAAATGAAGAATCTTTGTTATACAAAATGTTATTGAGGCTCTCAGGAGTTTTTTCTTTAGAGAATCATATTCCATCTCTCTTTGTCTTTAGAGAATCATATTCCATCACAAGATCACTGGGAAAATTGTATGCTATATTTGAAGAATGAGTTTCATCTTCTAAGGTTTCATCCATGACATAATTTAAAATGCAATCCAAAACTTGATGTTGGCAGCCAACATATTGTCACAGATAAATTTCTGCTGATGCTGTAGTATGACCACAACTCCATTTTTCCTGCATTTACAGTATTTACAGCCATTTTATCTGTGATAATCATTTTTATTTATGTTCATCAATTCAAAATAATCCAGAAAATCTTTAGTATCCATGGCAGTTGCTTGTGCTTTTAAATTTTCCGAGATACCTCCTATCTGAGTTTTTTTTCAGTGTTTTTAATTAACACTACTTGCAATGGTGCCCGATTCTTTTCTCTTAAAGTTCTCTTCAAAATTATTTTCATTTGTTTAGTCTGTTTCTTCAATACTTTCAAAATTTCTACATGGAAAGGCATAGGTTAGTTAGTACCATTAGCAGACAACTGCTTACATAATGCAGACACCTTCCTAACGCTAATGTTAACATTTCTAACTAACTGCTTAGTAACTGCTTCAGTTGTTAAATTGCGTGGCAAGACAATATTCTTTATTTCATAGGATTTGTCATTGCAATGTCTGAGTTCTTTTTTGACTCTCTAGATAAGGTATGTGGTGCGGTAGTAGAGGTGGTATAGCACTTGCTTCATAAGCGATTAGGTTTGGTATACCACATCTTTCTGCCACTTTAGATTTGCTTTCCATATAGCTACTTATTTTCCCTGCTTTATTTGCTTTACATGCTTTCCATATAGCTACTTATTTTCCTTGTTTATTTGTAAAGGTAATGTCAAATATATAAGCTAAAGTAACTTTTTCAACTTTCTGACTAAGGTGTTTTATAAAGATGTTGTGTTAAGATTAAGTTTTCTTTTCTGTAAACATTAATTTTACAGAAACATGATGTTGTGTTAAGATTAAGTTTTCTCACTGTAAACATTAATTTTACGGCAGAAAAATTTAATTTCCTGCAAAGAATTCAATTTTTCAGCAATCATTTTAAATCTGCTTTTGAGAAAATACTTTTTTTTGAAAAGTTATCTGCCAATAATGCCACTTTTCAGAGGTATTTTGCCGTAATTCTCCAATGATGCTTTTATATATTTGATGTTTTTTAGTTGAACGGCTTTTCAAATCTTATGTGATTATTGGTCCACAAATGAACTTGAATTCTGCAATTACAAAAATATGTATACTAGCTCAACTAAACATGCTTATTTTGATTTTACTTAACAATGACTAAACACTGTAGAAAATACTGTAGTGGTCACACACAGAAGCAATTTTCCAACAATTTGTTTAACATTTTAAAAAATCTGATTCATTCTTAACAAGGCTGAAAAAAAAACGCTATTAAGTTGAAAGCTATTAGAAAACAAAATAGAGTTAAAGAGCAAAGAAATGGTTGGCAGAAGACTTGAAAAGGTGTAGGTTGCATTAGATGTTAGAGAGTTCCAAAGGGTTAAAATGCATGGAAAAAAAAAAATGATTAAAAGTTTTTAGAGCATGCAAGGTTAGATATATTAAAGAATGAGACTTTGCTGAATGATGAGTCAAGTGGGAATGAGTTTTATATTGAGTTAAAGATTTTTTAAAAAGAAAAACCCGCCAATGAATGAATGAATGTTTATAAATATTTTAAACATAGTAAAAAATGCTATTGTTGGTGCATCTAAATATGAAATACCCAATAACAAGGTGTTCATTCTCGAATACTACTGTTGAATAATTATGCTGTTACTAATGGTGAGCAATTTTTATTCCAAACATTTCAGCATAGCATTTCAGTTTTTCAAGTTTTATTTTAGCTGCGTTATATTTTATTTTTTGTGTTTTAGTTAAGTTCTCTCTAATTTCTCTTTTGTTAAGATTTCTTGACTAAAAAAGAAAACTTAATTTTTTTTCTTAAAAAAAATTAAGTTTTCTTTTTTAGTCAAGTCTAGCTAATCTTTTTCAGCAATATTAACATTTCATGTTAACAGCCATGGTCAAATAATCAATAAGTATTACTTGTGTGGTTATATAATAGTATGGGATCACATGCCTCATCAAGACAGATATATATATATATATATATATATATATATATATATATATATATATATATATATATATATATATATATATATATATATATATATATATATATATATATATATAGGCTTTGTTTTAAAGCGTTAGGCCTAGAGCAATTTATGTACGCCTTAAGCGATTTTTACGTACGCGTAGAGCTGTTTTGGTTAAGCTACTTTTTATCATTTTTTAACTTTTAAATTAGTGGTAACATAAAAGAAGTAATCAATTTTTAAAAAAATAACTTTTTAAATAACGATATGTAAAGATATTTATTACAAAAAAGAATTTACGTTAAAAATAATTGTTGTAACTTTTTATCGCGATATATCTTGCCTTTTTATAGCAATTAATTTTACGCTAAACTTTTTATCCAAATATTTAAAAATATGAAAATTTGTTCGTCAATCCTTAACTACATTTTTTTGCAATGTTTTTAATAGAAAAAAGTAATTTTTTAAAGTTTTTAGTAAAAAAACTTTTAAAAAATCTATATTCCATATTTATTAATACAGAATATAAATGTTTTTTGTAATATAGATTTTTTAAGAGTTTTTTACTGAATTTATAATAAAAAACATTTGCAAAAAAATTTGTAATTAAGGATTCACATTTTTTTTAATATCTCAAAAAATGTCTTAATATTTTTGTTATCATGATAACAAAAATATTAAGACATTTTTTCGAGATATTTTAAAAAATGTGCCAATGAATGAACAATCTATTTGTATTTTTCTAAAAATTACTTCATTAATTATTACTCTTTCCTTTTCTTATTAGTTAAAGATATATAGATACCTTTACCTTTAAGTTATGCGGGGAGAGGGGGCCGGCACTTAAAAAAAAATTACCTGTTACTCGCAATTTTTGAATGAAGACAATTTGTTAAATTTCTTCTGCGTGTGATTCAATAAGTTTTTTTCATAAATCAAGTTATATTATAAGGTAAAGAAATCATGAGTAGACTACAACATCCGCTGATGACACTAATATTACATTGAATATATTTATATAACGGAGGTTTCATTATGTACACGCACATTACAGATTCCGTTAAATAAATACTAAGGCATGTTTTAGTTTAATGACAGTCTCTAATTTTTACTAATGAATATGTATTTTTCTTTATAAAACAAAACAAACTAGTATATAAAAACCTTGTATATTTCTATTCTCTCTAAATTGTTTAAAGTTCGAATATAGGTTGTATTTTAAATGACAAAAGATTTAATTTAAAACTTTTAATTCTTGGGACTTTGCCGATGCTTTGCCGATGCAATGATAACAGAAAAAGAAAAAACTATGTTAAAATATTTAAAAATGTTACTATATTTTAATTAAGTTGATATATAAATTAAAAAAAAATATAGTTCAATAAATAAATTAAATTTGTTGTTAACAAAGACTACCTCATATTTATTCATATTTTATTAATTAAATTGCTTACAAACGAAGAAAAACAAAAAGAGTTTTGTAATTATACGTAGAATGAAAATACTTTTGAGTTTGTTTATAACTTAAGGAACTTAATTTTTAATAAACAAATTTTTACGAACTTTTATTATAAACAGATACGATTCAAATTATTAAATATACTTAAATTATTTTATTTGAGTATTTTTTTAAGTTTGCAGGGTTAAAGTTTTGCGTAGAAGTATTTGTTTTTTGTTTTAAGAAAAATTAACAAAAAAGTTTGTATAATTAAGACTTTTATATTTAATTTAATTTTTTTTTAAATTTTACTAAAATTTAAAAAAAAAGATTTTAATTGTTAAAAACGATTTTTCTCTATAGCTCTGTTTCTTTGTGATTTGTTTAAAATGTAAAACATTTTTACAATAACGTAAAAAATTTATGAATTAAATTCCTGGCGAATGCGTTCTAAACTATGTATCAAAAATATGCTCAAAGCAGACAAAACTTTTTTATATTTTTATATAACACAAGTTGAAACGCTAAGCAAGATAAATTTAAAAAATATTTAAAAACCTAAATTATTCTTTGCTAGTCAAAACAAAATTGCTGTTTAAATAATTAACATGGGTTTTTGTTTATCAATGTTAATATTTTTTGTATATTCCAAAAATTTAAAAAAAAAAAAAATCATTATTTTTTATTCAATAACGATTTATAAACAATAATTATTCAAAAACAAATTTCAGAAATAATTTTTTTACTAAATAATATTGAACTAAAATTAATAATAAAATAACAATTGAAAACATTTCAAACTTTTCATAATAAATTTACATTTAAAACGTTTGTAGTTATTTGAGTTAATTATTAAATTGAACTAATTTGCGGTTATTTATTTATTGTTAAAACACTTAACGTCTATAAAAAAAAATAAAGATAATTTTATGACGTCAAAATCGCGTTAAGCTAATGCATTAAGCACTTTTTTTATTTAAAACAAGGCCTGATATATATATATATATATATATATATATATATATATATATATATATATATATATATATATATATATATATATATATATATACATATATGTATATATTTATGTATGTATGTATGCATGTATGTATGTATTAGGGCTGCCAACTTGAACATTTTTCAAAAATTTTGATCTTGAACACTTTCAAACTGTTTTGGAAAGTTTTTATTTAAAGTTGCAAAATAAAAGGTTACAAGTTAAATACAAAACTTATATAAATTAGGTACAAAACCTATTTATAAAGACTTTTTTAACCGCATTTAAAAAAATTTTTTTTATTTGAAAACAAATAAAAAGATTTAATTAAAACAAATAATTAAAGTTTATAAAATTAAAAATAAATTTTTTAATTTTATAAATTTATTTGAAACAAATAATATAAAATCTTGATATCAGTCATCTAAGCATCTAATGCATATAAGTTATCATCTTGCAACCAGCTTCTTTTTGAGCGTAAAAACAATCCAAAGCTAGAGAGTCTTTTCATGAGATCATACCTAATTTCACCCCTGTCAATTACATTTGAAAATTTAATAAAACATTTTTCGGTTCTTTAGCGAACCGAAAATGTTTTATTAAATTTTAGCAAGTTTTTATTTTAGCAAGTGCGAACTGGCATAAATGTGAATTGGCATATGAGCAAAATAACAATTTGTGTTATGCCAATATTGGCATATTTGTAATATTTGCAATTTTATTCGACACACTTATGCCAGTTTGCACTTATGCCAATGTTTATAAATTCTTTTGGCTCACTTATGCCAGTTTGCTCTTATGCCAATTTGCATAAATGCCAGTTTGTACTTACACCATTCGCACATTTAGCTCAAATTAATTTCAAATATCTTAACATTGCTAAATATTGTGACTCTCTGTAAAGACTAAAAAATAAAAAAATATAGCAAAAATATTTGCTAAAAAATTTAATATTTTATAATCTTTTCTTTTACTTAATATGATCTTTTTCTCAACTTTCTTTGTTGTCCATAACCCACTAAAAAGTAACATTTTATACAAAAATTTACCAGAAAATTGCTTGCGGGTTTGTTTAGAATAGTAATATTAATCTCTTAACAAATCTTTTTATTTTTAAAATAGGCTAATATTGCTTGTGGGTTTGTAATTTTTTTTTAATATATATTGTTCTCTTCTAAAAATAAATTTTTTTATTTTAAAAATCGGCAAAGATTGCTTTTGGGTTTGTATTTCTTTTTAAATCTTTTTTTTAATATTTTTTTTTTTTGAAAAATTATTTTTTAATAAAATTGAAAAAGTAACTTACAAGGTTAACTTGTTTTTATGTTAACTTTGTTTAATATTAATATAAAAATATAATACACCTGTAGGAGGACGTGGGATGCAATGCAAATGAAATATTTGTACTTTATGTAATTTTACTTTTATATAAAAAAATTTTATCTTTTAAAAAAAAAATATTCCGCTCCTTTAATCAGCTAATACTCCATTTCTTTAGGATAAAAAGCTCGACTTAATTATAAATGTCTAGACAAATGCATCACTAAATATCGTAACTCTCTGTAAAGACTAAAAAGTAGAAAATAAAATATAGCAAAAACATTTGCTAAAAACATAATCTTTTTGTACTAAAAAGTAGAAAATAAACTTTTTAATTTAAATTTAATAGTTCCATAAACTAAAGATTGACAGGTATTTTCTAAATAAACCTTGCGCAGACCTGTCAATCTTTAGTTTACGGAACTATTAAATTTAAATTAAAAAGTTTATTTTCTACTTTTTAATACAAAAAGATTATGTTTTTAGCAAATGTTTTTGCTATATTTTATTATATACTAAATTATTATTTTATTAATTTAACTTTTATTAATGGTATTACATTTTAGAACGTCAATTTTGCATTTCTTTTATAAATGTCTTGTAATAATGCTTGTTAAGGGACATTTTGCTTAAATTGTCTTTAACTTTTTGAAAAAAAAATTGTCTTTAACTTTTTGAAAAAAAAAATTGTCTTTAACTTTTTGAAAAAAAAAATTGTCTTTAACTTTTTGAAAAAAAAAATTGTCTTTAACTTTTTGGGAAAAATGAAAATACTCGTATACCTCAGATTTTCTAAACATTAAATTTTTTGTTTGAACTTTTGAAACCCTTCATAATTTTAATTTCAACTTTTTTCAAACGTAAATAAACAGTGGTTTTATGAAAAAATTATGAAAAAGTCACTGCTTAAAGGTTGAAATTTTGGCAAAAAGTTAAAATAGAACTCGAACATGTTCAAACTAGCAGCCCTAATATACATGTCTATTTTATGCTGTTTACAATGCATAAGATATCTTATTTAAAATATATTATATGCATTTATCTAATTTTATATGAAATTTTTTACTAAATTAAAAAATTTTCTTTTTGGGTTTAAAAGTTTTGGCAATGATGGATTTACTCGAGCATATGTCAATTTTATTGAATACAATGATGTACTTGATTTTCGAAACAAGTTTGATGGATATATATTTTATGATAATTTAGGTCATTTTTAATTTTTTTTAATCAAATTTTTTATAATTTTTTTTTCTAAAATAAAAAAAATCATGCAATACTTTGAAAATAACTTTTAGGAAATGAATTTAGTGCAGTAATTGAATATGCACCTTGTCAGCAAATACCTCGAACAAAACAAAAAATTGATCAAAAGATAAACACATTTGATAAAGGTATTTTTTTGATACTGTAAAGTTAAATAAATGATATTGTAAGATATTATGCCCATATTTATAAATATGCATTTATACTATGTGTATATATATATATATATATATATATATATATATATATATATATATATATATATATATATATATATATATATATATATATATATATATATATATATTAGAGATGTGACTTTTTGGTAAATTTTTGTTATCTTCAGTTTCCAATATAAAAAAACAGATTGAAAAGAACAGATGATTTGAAAGTAACTAAAGAGTCATTGATTTTATTAATTTTTGAAAAAGGTCACCCACCATGACTCTTATAAGTTTTACAAAACCCACTTTTTATAACTACTTGCTCTCATGCTTGAAGCTATTTCAATGCAATTTTTTAACTTTTCAAATTAAAATTCATGAAAAAGAAGAGTAGCAAATGAACTTTTTATATATGAAAATATAATGAATTGTAAAACAAAATAATGTTATTAAAACAATCAATCATTTCAATAAACAAGCAATCTAAATAGTCTGCCTACATATCAGCAAGTTTGCAGTGTTTGATGCATCAACTAGCTGACAAAAAAATTTGGACTTGACAAGTCCAAATATTGTAAATAAAGGGAAAACATAAAAGTTTGTTTAATGGCTGCTGTTCTATTTATCACACCAGGAACTTGGAGGTCACAAGCAAACTTTTTGTACAGAAACACCTGCTTTCATCTAAGAGATTATTTAAAAACATTATTTAATAACCTCAACTTATTCAATCAGCCATGTGTCTGAAGATGAATCCAGTGCAACAAAAACTTCATACATTAAAGAATTGGTGGCAGAGGCAAATAAAGATTTTTTAAAGTTATCCAAATCCTAATGTAGAAAAGTCTGTACTTCAGGTAGCAAATCATTGTACGGAACAATTGATCCTGCCTAAATGCGTGTCCTTCAATTAGGGGTTGCAAATGATGCCACCATTGCTAAAAAAGAATATCACAAAGGAATAGCTCACTGTCATCATTGAAAATTCCGTAGAATTAAATGCCTAGAGATATAATTGTTGCCTAGAGACTGTTGCTCTGACAATTGCTCTGATCATGGCAACACGTGTGTAAATATGACATTCAATAAAACAGCATTGAATACATATTGAATTATTGAATACATATTGAATTATATAATTGAATTTAAATAAGAATTTTTATCTGTAATGAAGCAGTGAAGTTTGAGTTATAGACTCTATCCATTAAACTATCAAAATCTATCAAAAATATGGAAATTTCCTTTTTTTGATTTTTTTTGCTCACTTTTACTCAGCGTGTCTAATAGCAAGGCTCTATATGGAGAGGGGGCCTGGATTTCTGTTTTTCCTCTCTGCCTTTATAGTTTCCTTTGCAGTGACTACTTTAATATTGGAATGATAAACCTTGGAGATGCATTTTGAAATGATGGTGTTATAACATTGCTTGTAGAAGTAGTAAAAATGCTGGAAGAAGTGGACATTATGCTGGTAAAATCAGATGATTGGCTTGTAGAAGCAATTGTATGGACATTAAAAAACATTCAGATTGTTACTAAAAGCAGATATTTGGGTTGTAGGTACAATTGGATGACTGGTACTTACAGATGTTCATCATTAAATATTTTTCAATTTCATCAGCATCACTCTTTGATTAATAGCTTTTACTAAATTCAAATTCATTTTCTGAACTAATGGATTATCAACTTCCTCTTTTAATTGTCTTTTCATGTGTGGAGATTTTTTATTTAAATAAGATAACAAATGTTTTGGTTGGCACGGCTCTTTGTTTTATTGTTGTTTTTTAGAACATATTTTGCTACAGAAATTCTAATTAGGTTTGATGTATATTATTCTGTTATAATAGTGTACATAATAGTTGTTTTGTATTCTAGTATATGCTTTATTTGATCACTGAAAATTGAATCTTGTTCAAAAGTTCATTTACTAGACTATCTCATAATATTTTTTGTTTATATGTCATTAAAAAAAAATAGACTTCAGATTGATACAAGCATTAATTTGCAATTGAATTTAAAATTAAAAATTAAAAAGAACATAAAAAGTTTTTAAAATTTCTTTATTGATTGCAAAAGTTTTTATTAATTTGAACATTTAATTTTTAGTTGTTTCAAGATGTCAGATTTTTTTTTTCCTTAGAGTTCTCAAAATAATCTTGTTAATTTTTCATTTTGCCTTCAATCAAAAATCTTTAAAACTACACTCAGTTTTTGTAATTTCTTTTTTCAATGTAGTTAATGACTTTTAATAACAGAATTATTTTTGTTTTAAATGAATTTTCAATGTCTCCAAGACAAGGGAGATTCCCTTGTCTTGGAGATATTGAAAATTCATTTAAAATAAAAATACTTTTTTAGTGTAAAAACAATCCAAGGCTCTCTAGCCTTTTCTTTTTGAGTGTTTTTACACTTAAAAAGAAACTGGTTGCAAGATGATAACTTATATGCATTAGATGCTTAGATGACTGCTATCAAGATTTTAGATTATTTGTTTTAAAACTCCATATTTTATCGTACTATTAGGAAATTAGTTTTGAATATGAATGAAAATGAAGTCTCTAAATTATGTCTGTTTATAAAAAAACAAAAATTGAAAGTGCTTTAGCTTTCACTTTTTTAAATGTTTCTTTCCTAAACAAATTTAAATTAAAAGCAATCAGGAAAAACTATTAAGTATATAATATTGGAATAATAATATATATATTAATATAATTAATATAATAATCTCTCCTTATAATTAGTGTTTTGATTTCATTTTTAAAAGGATAAAGTTTTTATAACATTTGAAACTGTAAATTGGTTCTATTAATGGAATAATTAATTCTAGAATTAATTAACTAATTATCAGGTTGTGTTTTATTTGCTGAAAAAATATTCAAAATGACATCCATTTTATATAATGTTTAAATAATGTTCTTTGTTATTGAGTATTTTTTATTAGAATTTTTTTACCTGGAAATTTTTCTTTAGTTTTTTTTTTTTTTTTCTTCTTTTTTTCAACATCTTTGCTTCTAACAAGGCTGCAAGCAAACACTATTAGAGTTGGAAGTTACTGGAAGAGAAAAGATGAAGATTGTAGAGCAAGATAACAATTGACAGACGACTTAAAAGATTGCAAATTGAATGAATCATGAAGGTTAATAAAGAAAGCGAATACCAAAAAACTAATGTTCAAGAAAAATAACTAGATGAATAAGAGTTTTTGGAGCACTTAGGAATAGTCACAGAAAAAGGACTTAATTGAATGACGAGAATGAATTTTAATAGATAAAACAAGAAACGTTAGCTCTTTATTGCAATGCCCATTATAGTATTTGTAGAAAAAAGAAAGAGAAGCAACATTACAGCGATGTGTTAATGGTAAGAGGTTGGCTGCAAGAACAGGTCCAACTATGTTTACAATGCATTTTTGTACCTTGTCTAAAAGAGAAATTAGAAGATCCACCTCAGATATGGCAACAGTATTCCATACAAGGACCAATTTTAGATTTATAGAGCTAAAGAATAGAATCCGGAGAAGAAAAGTATTGAGCTCAATAAAGAGATGCAACCTTAGCAGATGCTCATTTTGCAATGGATTTGATATATGGATATCACAAGAATGAATTTCAGTAGATGGCACAAGAGATGCTAGCTCTTTAGAGCAGTGCTCATTATAGTATTTGTAGGAAAGAGAGAGAGAAGCAACATTATAACAATGTGATAATGGTTGGAGGTGGGTTGCAAGAGCAGATCTAACTATGTTTACCATTAGTTTTTGCAAAAGAGAAAGGGCATCATTGGAAGATCCGCTCCAGATATGGCAACAGTATTCCATACAAGGATGGATTTGAGATTTATTACAAGGATGGATTTGAGATAGAAAATAGAATCCGAAGTAAGAAAGTTTTAAGCATAATAAAGAGATGCAACCTTAACAGATGCTAATTTTGCAATGGATTTGATATATGGTTTCTAAGAAAGATCTGAAGTAAGAGTTAATTACTGGAAGATTATTAAGAAGAATAATTAATAATCTTTCAGTTATTATTGCCATTATTTTGCTTTGATCCAATTAAACTTATTGTGTTTTTAAAATAGAAAATTAAAATCTTAAAATTAAAATCTCCTGGATTGTCTGGAAAGTCTTGGATTTAAAATAATCTCAGCATTCCAAAGTTTATAAAAATCATGAACGACTTCAGGAGACCTGGATCTAGGATTGCACACTCTATAAGATATCATGTCTATGTGGACTTGTGAAAAAAAAAATTGTTTTACTGTTGACATTGAATTAATATTAACATTGATCTACTGTTAAGATTGGCTTTTAACTGATTATATTATATATTTTTTAAAAACTGTTTTTTAACATGCTGAAAATGGTGCACAGAGTTTTATGATATTTTTACATAAAGCGCATCTTTTAGATCCTGAATACTTACAGTTTTTGGAAAATCTTGGAAAACAAGTTGAGCTTCTTCCCAGTGCTGAAAAATATATAGAAGAATTACAGGCATTGACAATTGCCGACAAAAAGAGTAAGTTTTTTTACTAAATAGATTTGTAAAACTTTTAGTTTAGTTTACTGATATACATTTTATTATCATCTATTGTCTTTATAAGTACATAAACATTAATTTTATTATTATTTTTGTACTGATAAGTTTATTTGCTGACTAGAATATGTTCAATCATTCAGTCATTCATATTTAGATATGCAACTTATAAGAATAAATAACTTTTAAAGAATAATTAACTTTTAAAGAACAATTAACTTTTAAAGAATAATTAACTTATAAGAATAATTATCTTTTAAAGAAAATTCCAGTTTAAAATAAAAATTAAAGCTTTATAAAATTTACAAAAAGTTTGTAATAAAAAGTGTTTGAGGATTTATAAATTGACAGGTCATTTACAGGTTACAGATTGTTTGAAATTTTTTAAAAACCTCACCCATGGAATTTTCAGAATCAGCAGTGTTCTGAATTTATGTACTGTTTTAATATTTCATTTTCTATTTCAACAAAAAGTTTTTAATTTAAAGTTGACCTGTAACCTTATTTTAATGCAATCGTGTAAACCAAATATCAGTAATAAAATTGTTTGTTATGAAATGGTTATCAAAAATCTCTTACATAAAGGTTGTATAAAAAAAACCTGCTCCTTTATTTCTAACTATGTGTCTATGTTTCTAAATTTGGTTGCACAAGCTTGAAGATTAACCACCTAGTAAAAAAAAGTTGTAATAACACCAGAACAAGATAAGCAAGTTTATATTATTGTTTGTAAAGATTCAAAGACAAATCAAAAAAATAACAAATTAAAATGAAATTGTATCAAAAAATATAAAAATCTATTTTTTACACACAAAAAGTGAAAAAGTTCAAAGCTGTTTTAATACCCTATAGTAATTAAATGTTTTTAGGAGAAAAGACACGCACTCCATTAACTGATTACTTAAAAGAAAAAAGAGATAGTCGTATTGCTGCAAGACAATTAGCTATAGCTCAAGTATATTTTATGTATATATATAAAATTTTATATTAGGTTTTTAATTTTCAGCTGAAGGCTAATTGAAGTTATATATTTTTTAGTGAATTTAAATTTAAATTATATTTTGTTAATTTAGCGCGAGAAGGAAAGAAAGCAGAGATTAGAAGAAAAAGAAAAGGTTATTAAATTCATTTATAAGATTTTTTTTCAAAATTTGTATCTATTAGGTCAGGCCATACTCTACTGTTTGTTGCTACTGCTAATATTTTATCTAGTACAACCTGTCGTGTTCTTCTTAAAAATTATATTTTTAAAAATCACATTATTTTTTCAGACAAAGGCTAGTAGAAGTTAACTCTGGTTTAAAATATTCCCTTGTCTTGGAGCTCATTAGTGAATAAAGGTTAGAGTTGCTGTCCCAATAAATATATTCATCATGGGCAGCTCAAACTCTATACCACTACTGTTTTGTAGTCGTTTTTTAAGTCTCCTAGACAAAGACTTTAGGCATAAGCACAAAAGTTTCTTTTTAAAGGGGTTATCTTTTGCTGGGTATTTCCGGAATTCCAGATATTTTTTCAACTTTTAGTTACATACATACTTACAACCTTTAGTTACATATAAGTTTAAGGTATATATTTTTGTGGTATATTTGTTTTTTAGGCTTTTTCACTCATTAATTATACAAAAATTGGGAAAAGTTAAAAAAAAATTGGAAACAAATCAGCTTAAAGCAAAATTAGGAGGATATATATTCTGCTTTTTTTCCAGATATTTTACCCATACAATTTTCGGGATTTTTAAAATATAGCTTGGATGATTAATTTTTTTACCAGTCTTGCACTGAGTTTAATAGTTCTGACACTGACTGGTAGTTTCCATAGAAACCTGTAAAATATTAGTGTTATAGTATTTTATAGAGCAGAAATGAAAAAGTAAATAAAAATATTCTTATTGTTGTACATAATTTGTTAGGAACTCAATACAATACACAAACTAGTTTATATTTGTATTTATTTTATAGCGTAGAGAGAGAGAAAAAGAACGTAAAAGTAAACAAGAAAAAGAAAAACTTGATAGGTAAACAAAAGGCTGTTTGTTAATGTAAATTAACAGTTTTAAAAGTGTGGAAGTGGTCAAAATTAACAATTTTGAACTCTTCCACACTTTTGACTTCTTCCACACTTTTGACCACTTCCACAAATAAATTTTAGACATGGGGGTAGCAATAAAATTGTTGTTTTTTATTGCACATTTATTTAAAGGTAGTGATTTTTTTATTTGTTATATCATTTTTACAACATAAATGTGAAATTGTAATCTACATGTGTGAATTTTAAATATGGTTGAGGTTTACTTTCACAACGTCATTTTTCTTTGCTTTTTTTCAGTTAGGTAGACATGCTTACAAAACAATATGGAACGTTAATGTTAATAAATATTTTTAAGACATCTACGCTTTGAAATTTTTCTTTTCCTGCTGGATTTTTTTATTAATTTCTTCAATATCTAATCAATTCTAAAAGCAATACAACTGTCTCATCCAATTTATTAAGTATAACTTCTAAGGTGCCTGGGGCTCTATATTAGGACCCTTTATCTTTCTATTTACATTATTTCTGTACAGTTTATTTCTGTAAAGTTTTCTATTTACATTATTTCTGTATTATTTCTGTAAAGTTTGATGATTGCAAGTTTGCTGATGGTACTAATTCTTTTTATCTTATAGCATGAACATTGAATTAACAAAATTTGTGACTGGTTTAAAATGAATAAGTTGTTACTAAATGTTAGAACTGGAAAAAAAATTGTGAATATCACAATGAAATTTTGTGCAACCAAATTGCTAAAAGTATAAGCGCAAATTATAAAGCTAAAGGTGCTTTAAATAAACACAGTTTAAATTATTTTTATTTTTCTTTCATTACCATATAAGTTATGCAATTATTGCCTGAAATAATGCAAATAAGTAAAATTTGGTTTCTCTTTATTGTCTTTGTTAAAGCATGTTGCTTGTACAATTTTAAAGACAGATTTGCCAATATTTGATATTTTTTATATATATCAGTTGAATTTTTTTAATTTTGGGCTTCTGTATATACATCAAGTATCTTATAGCCTGCTGCTGCAAAGCAGTGCTGCTACATTAGATAAGATTAGATTAAAATTTATTAGAACAGTGATACATGTTCTAAAGGACATGCAGGTCCATAAAATATGAAGGACTCTGACAACGTGCCCTACAATCACATAATACATATGCTAGATAATTAAAAATATATATGACAATTATATATAAGACTATAGTTATAAAACAAAAACCAGTTAGCTGGAACAGTACTTTTCAAAGTTGATAGAGTTAATTTTAATTTTGAAGCTCTTTATATTTTTGGCGTTCACGACATCAGATGGTAAGTTATTCCAAATATAACAACCCTGAGTGAGAAAGAGAGTTTATGGACATCGAGTTTACATTTTAGTTTGCGTAATTTGAAATTATGTTCTTGAGTATAAATTGTTAAATAAAAGTTGTTAATTAAAAAGAAACTTGATTTATTTAAGCAAACTAAATTGTTCAGAGTTTTGTAACATGTAATCATGTCTATTTGAATATGAAACGTTATTTAGGTTAGAAATTCTCTTGGTAAAATGTCTTTGTACTTTTTCCACTGTATTGGTTGCCAAATCGCATTTTAGTGCGATTTGGCAACCAAACTGGAGAGCAATATTCTAAGATCGGTCTTATATAAGTAGTGTAGGCTTTAATGATAACACATGGATCACACCTTTTAAAACACTTGAGAATTAGATATCCTTGAGTTTTTGATGCGCGGACGATATTTGAAATATGATTATTATAATTTAAGTAAGAATCCATGGTCACACCAAGATCTTTTGGGTTTGTAGACCAAGTTAAATTATAATCGCCTAATTGATAGTTGTAATTTATATCTTTACAAAATGAAATAGGTGCTATTCTATGAGTAAAGCACTTATTATTGGCTAATTAATACTTTTAACTGCCATTTTTTTGACCAGAGATAAACTTTATAAATGGCTACAGCAAGATCGTGACTGTAATCAGCATCCTTAAATGAACTATATAGCTTGATATCGTCAGCATATAACATTAGAGAGCAATTTATGATCTTTTACTAAAGAGGGTAGATCATTAATATATAACAAGAATAACGTTAGACTCAAAACGCTGCCCTGTGGAACTCCACTTAGGATGCTGGTTGAATTAGATAGTGAATTTCCAACCAGAACCCTTTAATATCTGTTAGAAAGAAATGCTGATATCCAATGAAGCAGATTATCTATTATGCCAACATTGCAAGTTTCTTCAAAAGTTTTGGATGAGGTGCAGAATCAAATGCTTTTTGAAAATCAATGTACACCACGTCAGTAATTAAATTGCTGTCTAAAGCTTTATTCCAGTCAATAGTTGACTCTAGAAGATTTGTGTATGTAGA